GCTGTTTTCTGGATTATGGTTTCCAGAAAAATGGCAGCAGCCTAATAAAAAAGTTTTGAATACTAAATTTTCGGTTAAATATTGTCCTGTTAATGCGAAGTAACTCTCAGTTACTCCAGATGTCCAGAGGTCAGTAGTAATACAGATATTTTCTACTTCTTTAACAACTTGCGATCTAATAATTTGCTCACTTTTGACATAACATTCCTGAAGTAATGAACCTGACAAAGTTTTTCTTGTTGGCGGTTTATATCCAGGAATCCACCCTGCAAACTTTTTAAAAGCTGGTTCTTTAACTATGGAAAACGGATGAAACGAAAAGTTTAGTAAATCTTGAAAATCAATCAGTCCAAGAAAAAGAAACTGATAAAGATGACTTAAGTCCATGGTGTATTTTTGATGAATTAATTGGACATGACTCATCTAAACATACACCTGTATCGAGAGGTATAAAAGAAGTCGACATGTAATTGTCTGATGATATATTACCCACAAACAATTTCGAACGGAGATTGTCCATTACCGTGGTGAAAAAACCATCGCCATGTATATCGTAACTTAACCACTATATTCATAAAATGTTGTAGTATTGTAACAAAATCTTTTCCTTGTGAACACATGTTTAACATCTGGTATAATTTTAAATAAAAGAAGAACGCGATTAACAAGAAAAGTGGAAAAACTTATGTTTTTAAATGTCAATTTAGACGATTCGCGATTTAATAATGTGTAATGTAAATGTAACTATTTAAGTACCATTTTTATTATTTAATTTATTTTTCAAGTTACAATAAATATATCCTTCGTTAGGTTCTTTTATTTCAATACTTATACACATAAACGATAATAGCTAATATGTTTGTGTACTCGCTAATTTGAATACTGGTAAACAATCAACTAGTTACAGTTTACGAAAAACGGTTCCGATAAAAATTAAAAAAACGAGAAGACCCACCTCTAGTTTTTTAGGTATATTAGGATCGGAACCAGAGAATATCTGATCGGAACTAATCGTCTCACCAATGGGCAATGGCCAATGAGTGTTAAAAGGATTTTAAGAGGGGAGACGAAGGGGAAATATGATTGTTATCTTTGTCTAATTCGTTGAAAATATGATTTTATATCTGCGTTAGATATCCTGTTAAATTTTACCATACCGACCATAAAAATTTTCCTACACTGTATATATATATATATATATATATATATATATATATATATATAAATAGAGTGTGTAAAACGACGCTAAGAATACAATTCTTTGGAGGGTAACTTTCGGGAAAGCGTCAAAACAAGGATCAGCTAGAGATGGTATAAGCCAGCTTGGTGTAGAACTTTATTCTAAATGTGAAATTTTCGGTGATATGTTGTCACCTTCATCAGCACCTAAATGGAAAACCTATTATAGTACAGTGGTGGAACGACAACAGTCGTTTGGAGTGACAACATATCACCGAAAATTTCACATTTAGAATAAAGTTCTACACCAAGCTGGCTTATACCATCTCTAGCTGATCCTTGTTTTGACGCTTTCCCGAAAGTTACCCTCCAAAGTATATATATATATATATATATATATATATATATATATATATATATATATATATATATATATATATATATATCTGACATTCGAAATGTCAGTTTTTTGTATGTGTCAACAAATAATCTTTAATAAATAGTTTGGAGATATCCTTATGTGTACAATTATTGTAATTATTGAACCTCTTAACTTATTTTCGTCTAGTAATTTCATTACAGAATTCATACAAATCCCATTTAACTTTAACAAGAATTCAAATTCTACTCTCCAATGACAGCATGCGCGAACACGACCGATTTTGTGATACGGGAAGAGCCTATCGTGTTATTCATAGTATCATGGTTCATTCCATCAAGAATTAGCAGAAACATCTACTTTACCTAGTTTTAGTGTCGATTCGTAAGTAACCCTTTTTACTTTTTTTTTATTTACTTACCGTAAAGTAAGTAAATAGAGGGTTCATGACCTTACATATTATTTGTTTATGGTCAAAATATTACCAATGTTTTACTCTTAAATAATAATAATAACAAATAATATCATTTGCAGAAAATACTTTAAGTTTTATCGTTATTTCTAGTAATAGCTGTCATTCTCAGTCAGTTGAGATTGCCTCTCCGCAAAAACCATCTTTTTCGGTAGAAGGCAGAAGAATAGTGGACATAAACTTTTTCATTAAATCTATTCAAGGTCTGAATAATCATTCTCCATTTTCATGCAACTTTTCTAATATGGAGATTATCAAAGAAAAAATGGACGGATTGATAAGTACATTGACTTTTAAATGGCAAATGTGGAATATTGAAAAGGAGATAGCAACATAGGATTCTGGTAACAATTCACTGAACTTGAACGGTTCTGGTTATTCAGACATACAGCAGCAGCAAGCTGCATTAAATATACCTGTGATGTCCTACAAACAGTATGCAAAACATACGGAAACAGTTGCAGATATCATCGGCCAAACACTTTGTGATTCCTTAGAAGAGGCTGGTCGGGAGGAATTAGCTTTAGCCAAAGAAATTGGTGAAGTAGATTCCGACGGAAATGGGTTAATAACCGTTATAGCTGATGGTGCTTGGTCAAAAAGATCGTATAAAGTAAACTATGATGCTTCTTCAGGTGTAGTACCTGACGTTGTAAAATTTATTAAATTAGTACGCCTTTGATGGATAGGACATGTAATTAGGCGAGATGAAGATGAAACGATCAGAAAAATTTTCGACCGAAGAGGACCAGTGGGAAAACGATCCAGAGGAAGACCAAAACTTAGGTATCAAGATAACATAGAGGATGAACTAAAATCCATCGGAGTTAAAGCATAGAGAAAGTTGCCAGAGGCAGGGGCGAATGGAAGATTGTTCTGAAGAAGCTTTTGGCTCATGACGAGCTGTAATGCCACTGATGATGATGAAATAACTATCCACGATTTGTGTTTTATTCATCAATTGGATACTTTTCTTATGTAACTGCAACCTATAAATATATTAAAATAATGTATATTCTATTCAGAGAACTTTTTCCTCGCAGTGCGTCGCCTCGAAATACTTGGCAGATAAATACATTTACTATTATGATGGTTTCGCAGGTACCAATTTTTTATAGATAAATAAAAATATTTTTTGTTTAATTTTTACTACGCTAATATCAGTTTTCTCTAACAAATAAATAACTTCTTGAAATAATTTTCAAGCTATAACTGCGAAATTGTTTATTTGTTTGTGACAACAAATTGTAATTCTTTTGATAATAATATTCTTATGTTATTTCAAATTTATTATAAATAAACACCATGGTGTTTTTTGCAGTCACGTTTCACAAATTTTTATTTAATACTATGTTTAGCTAAGACATATAAATTAAAAATGTGATTAATTCTTTTTAAAACATTATCTACGATAATTAATCAAAAAAAAAGTATTCCGACAAAACTAATTTGAATGGAGAATAATGCATTTATTGTCATTAAACAACCCGTGGGCCGGCGCCACTGAATAAACATCCAAACTATTAGGAAGTCACGTAGGGTCTGACATAAGCAGTGTAGAAAAGTAAGTGATACGCCCACTTCAAATCGCAGTATGCTATAACTGCGAAAACAGCCTTATGTAACACACTTAATACACACCAAACTAGAATTTCACATTAAAGTCACACAATTGGGTAACTGTGTAGACATAAAAAAGCATGTGCCATTGGGAACACTAATAACAGAAAATTAAAGACTTTACTGTTCTGAAATAAAAATTAAAATTGAAAGATGTGCCAACTTTATAGAAATGAAAAAGGATCTTTTTAGGAAGGATTTGACATAAGCTCTAAAGATATGATTGATTAAATGTTACATATACAGTGTCCTGTAATCTAGCAGTTGCTTAATAGAGAGTGGCTGTTCTGAGTTGATTTTTCTATTTGAATTGAATTGAAGATTGAATTTATTACTACATAAATTTAGATAAAACTGAAAAAAACAATAGTAAAATAACAATATTAGGTAAAGTTAGACTTATGATATTTAAGTACAGGACACAAAAAATAATCAAACATTTTTTCATGCATACTTGAAAAATTAATACGATCCTAAGATCTGCAAGAGATCTAGCTTGATTCTTGAGTGGAAGTAAAATGTATTTGCTGTCTTGTTAAGACAGCAAGTACAACTATATAACTATATATTTTTCCATAACCTTTTCATCAAAATGATGTATCTCATTGTAGATAAATATTTAATTGTGTGATAGTTTTAATGCATGCCCTTTATTTCCATAAGTTAGATAATTTAACAGTTACATTTTATGGGCAGAGTGTGAAAATAAGAACACTATCATGTTCTTCATTTGTTCAAAATTTAAACTTCTAACTAGAAACATGTAAAATATATTTTTTAAATATTATTGAATGTGAAACTCAAAGAGAAAGCAACATCAAAAATCAAGAAGATTTTATATCAAAATTAAAACACAAATAATTATTTTTAACTAACAAGTTATATTGGTAATAATATATAATATATATTGGTAAATAATAAAAAGTTTGATGCTTCTGAGTATTTGTAATTTTCCTTTTATAACAATCTGTATGGGAATTACCCCATCAATATGTTGGATGGTGGAAATTAAACATTGGGACCTTCCAACCTGTCTAAATATAACGATTATTATATTTAAATGTGTTTACATTGATATTTATTCACTGGGGCCCAAAAATATTGACTAAGCAGCTAACAAACTATTTTGAAAAATGAAAAGGTTTAATCAAGTGACAATGTGAGATACTGTATTTTGTCACAGCTATAAAAAAATTGCACTCTGTACCTAGATTTTGGGATATATGTACAAAGAATATAAGCAATAGTCTGAAAATAAGACTATAGAATACATAATTACACAAACACTAATGTTCAGCTGCTGGGATATGAGGAACATATACCTTCAATTTTGTCTATTCATCTACTTACATAGTAATCATCATTAATTTGTACCATGGGGGCATTAACACATGCTCCCAGACATTCAACCTCAGATAGGGTCCATAACATGTCTTTGCTTGTCTCTCCAACTTCTAACTTAAGATTTTTCTTAATAGCTTCAAGAATCTCATCTGATCCTCTTAACCAACAAGGAGTTGTAGTACAAATTTGAACATGATATTTACCTGTAGGTTTCCTAAAACAATAAAAAACTAGTATTCACATGAGATATGTATTCTAATCTTGAATGGAAAGATAAGTATGAATGAACAGAAAATATTCACTCCATTGTATATTCTTAAGTGTGAATGATTTTCAAATACCTCATAAACATGGTGTAGAAAGTTGCTACTTCATACACCCTCATTCTTGGCAAGTTTAAAATTTCAGCAACTTTATGCATAGCAGAAATTGGTAACCATCCATATTGTCTTTGAGCTAAATCCAGTAAGGGAATCATTGCAGCCCTCTTGTGACCTTCTGGATATATGGCTAGGATAGCTTCGGCCCTCTAAAACAAAAGAAGTGAAAATATTTTAATTAAATCTGTATGTATGGTGATACATTTAGAGGAAAAGTTTCTTGGGAAACTGAACACTTTTGATGTCTGATGGAGTTATCTTGAAAAAGATGAATAAATACATTTTTAATATTTGTCTTTTGAATAACCTTAAATAGCTTCAAACATTGCAGCTGGTATATAAGCATATGTTTATAGAACAGAAATATACTGGAAATCTAACAATAACAAATCAAAAAATGATAAAAAGGTATTCAGGCTGCAACATTCAGAAATTAAAGATAGCATTGAATTTTACATATCTAAAAGAAAAGGTATAATAGAGATCCTATCACAAAGTTTGCTCCTCCACTCACCTGTTAAATTTTTATTCTACACAATATTCATTTGGATAGACAAGATTAGCATTATCTTAATTAAACTAGTGTAGAATGGCATATCAAACAGCCTATATATTTATTGTTGGCATATTTATACTTAGCTTGAATTAGAGACAACAAAGAGATGTAAATGATTACCTCATATTAATTAACTAATTATTGGGCCAACTTGATCTTATGCTAAAGGATTTAGAACTATTTCATTTTAATTAGAAACCTTTAACTTTCAATTAATATATCCTTATTTAAACATCAAGATTTTTATTAAAAAAATCCATTAGAAAAAAAAAAGCAAAAAATTTTTCCTCTTTTCAGGATAAATGATTGATACCTTTTTATTTTCTGGGGTAAATTCAAAGACAATGTCTGGATTATCTTCAGGAGTATCTCGATGTACAAATAAGCTATCATGTTGTAAAGCACAGGTAGTTTGAAGTCCCCTTTTGGTAAGAGATTTCCCCTAAAATAAATTGAGGTTATGTTAAATTACATAAGACTTAACTACAATGAATAGCCAATTTGAAGACATAAGATTTAGTTCACTGTTATTAAAACTTACCACACTTGAAGATATCTCTTTGAACAATTTCAACATATTCTAAATTTTATTTTTTCCAATTTAAAATTTTCTGACAGTAAACACTAACCTGTCACTGCATACCACTGACAGCGGTTGCCACAGACCACTAGTAAATGCCATATGTCAAATATGCAATTAACTTCAAGTTCCACGTAAAAATTCGTCTTCTCAGTTTCGGGCAAGGGCTTTTCAGGCACAAACAAACAATAACATAACCTTAAAATTATACTGTGGTAAATAAATACACAGTATAAGCCAATGTTCAATAAGGTAAATATCTTAAAACTTACATATTCTTACGTTCTTCTTTTGATAGGAAAATACACACAAATTAGAAATGTTTGGAAAGGTTTTTGAAACCCCCGCTCATTGTGACGTCGAGCTTAGGTAGTCCATTTGTAAATGAACACAGTTTTTGTGATTTTCAAATACTTCAATGAGCAGTGGCGACGCCTAATGGAAAGTATTGGTTGTGCACAAATATAATAAATATCTATGATAATAAAAATTATAACACCGTAGGCCTCCACTTGAGCCCTATTGCCCACTTGAGCCCGTCAAATTGTAAAATCAAAGGATCATATTAAGAAATTACAATAAATAGTGTATTTTATTAACGTAAATTGATAATTTAGTTTTTAAATGTTACAAGCAAGTTTTTTATTGAAAGTCAAGTTATGACTTATTTTGAAATAAATTCCTTAATAACCTGTTCTTTAAAATTTCTTAAATCATCGAAGAAAAGTTTGATACGTTTCAATGTAGATAAACATCGTTCTGATTCTGCAGTTGTCATTCAGATTCAGTCATTGGCATCGTAACAAGTACTTGAAGAATTAAAATTATTCCAGAAAAATCTTCTTGCAAATTATTTTCAGCAAAAAATTTAAGTAAGTGGTTTGCTCCGGAAAACTCTTTAAAATCGGATCTTCTATAAATTATTTTCAAATTCAGACTTTAATTTGGTTTTGTTTAAAAAGGGATAATTACCAATTGCTGATTCCAATGCTAATGTAGGAAAATTTGAGCTGTATGTTTCTGTTTTAGTATTAGTTTCTGAAGAACTGTATTAGTAAAGAGTATTGCTATACTGGGTTTGCTATTCCCAGTCCGAACTGTATAGTGAATTTAGTAATTATTTTTTACGAAGTTAGATACTTTTTGACATACTAAAAGTGGATGGAAATTACTATACAACCAAGCACACGTAGCCATAGTCAATATTAATAGTAAACAAACTAAATAGTAAATAAAATAGAACTTTGCGAATTACCGACGATCAATATTTATTTATCTGCACCATATAATAAATAGTTATGTAAAATTATAACAACTAAAATATATTTTTTAAATATATACTACCCAAAATTTGATGGGTTTAGTATGCACTTCCACTATTAAGAACAATTATTTTTTTTTCAAAGAAATAAGTCTGCAATAGTAGTATACTTAAGCTAATAATACTGAGAAGTAGGAATTGTTGTGTTGTAGGTTTCCGACAATGAATCTGTCATAATATGCCCGAGCTAAACGAATGGAGTATAGTAGCACACCCACACAACCAGTCAGTTTTTTCATAAATTCCGATTTTACTTGATAGTTTATAATCCCGACTTTTGCATTCGTTACATTTGTAATTAACATATTTGTTTTAGGGCGTTTCAATTTTTAATTTTTCTTCCATAGTGAAGAAAATTTAATTGATTTTAAATATTCCACGCTAACTTTCACAAATCTCTTCATTCTTAAATTATTTCGAACTAGCAATAAGCAACTATAAGCAATGCAGCAAAATTTAAATGTATAACAATTTACAGCAGATCACCTGAATGTAATATACTAGTGTTTGTGGACTTCCTGAGGAAAGCCATGGAGAGGGTTGTAGGGTACATGCACTATACACTGATTTCTCCAAGGCCTTTGATCAGGTCAACCATAATATTTTAATAGTTAAACTTTAAAAAAATGGGTGTTGATGGACCTCTTCTTAGATGGCTGAGAACATACTTGATTGACCGAGTTCAGATGGTGCGTATCAGTTATTTTGTTTCCAGTGAGATTAAGCTTCATTCAGGAGTCTCATTTGGGACCCCTGTTATTTAACATATTCATCAATAAAATACACCACTGCTTCCAGCACAGTTCACCTCTTCTTTTTGCGGACTATCTAAAGTTCTACACAATTATCAATAATGCAGAAGATTGTGTTAATCTTCAACACGATCTCGATCGGCTGAGTGAGGGGTGTGTGTTGAATGCCATGGCACTGAACGCATCCAAGTGTCATGCTGTTTCTTTTGGACGATCGAGAGACCCAATGGAATATAATTATAATATACAGAACATTCTTGTTGACTGGGTTACCGAAATTCGTGATCTGGGAATTAATTTAGACTAAACGTTTACTTGAATCACATTATATGTCAATAATTTCCAAGTCTTTACAAATGCTTGGCTTTATAAAAAGATTCACTAGAGACTTTCGGAATATTGAAGCGATTCAATTACTATATTGTTCTTTAGTCAGACTCCACTTAGAGTATTGTTCTTGTATATGATCTCCATATTATAATATTTACATATAAAAAATTAAGACAATTCAACACGTTCTTAAAATATGTAACATATAAACAGAGGATACCTTTTGAATGAAATCAAATAAATTATGATCAAATTGAAACCCAACTTGGTATTCTCTCATTGTATGACCGACGATTGATTAAAGATGGAAAGATGCAAAGATGCTTTATGGCATAATTAATTCCACAGTCTTGTGTTCTCAGCTACTTGAGCAGCTTGGTCTGCAAGTGTCTCTCCGTAGAACATGATTAAACCAAACTTTTTATGCTCATCTTCACAGAACCAACTATACATATAATAATTTTGTATCTCGAGTACTAAGATGGGCAAATATTCACCCAGATCTAGATTTTTTTGCACCGAAAGAAATTTTTTTAACTCTCCTTCATTTTCATTAGTAAAATTATGGGGTTTTGTCCATTTAATTACGCGACAAGGTGATTAAGCACCTAAATACTTGACGATGAAATCAGTATCAAGAAGATATCTAACTATTTTATTCTGGTTTCTTGTATTCTGTTTCCAGCTGCTCTAAAAAATTGATTTATAGAACACTCGAATTATTCTTTGAGATTACGGAGCCAAGTCAGTCGTCTTGCTCCAATAATCATCTAATTTGTGTTATCAGCAAGTTTCTTCTAAAGTGAAATTTTGTTAGGTGACTTCAATAGTTTTATTATTCTTGTTCCCTTGAGAAATAGTGTTTCATGATAGCAGTAAAAATATTTAAGATTAGGGCTGCTGTAAAACGCTCCAACACACAAGATAACAAGTTTCTGCACTGGTATCAGTGATCCTCAATTATCACATGCTTTCTTTATAATACTGAATTAAGTATATTTAATACATAAGTTTCTAACAACGACTACTAGTTGTTTTGGCAATTGCTTATTCACAGTAGGTATTTTAGTTTTGTTTAAATTAAACATATAAATAATACTAATTTAATTCTTGTTGGGTAGTAATGATATTTAAAGGAAATAATGAAGGAATACCTAGACAATAAATCTTTTAGGACTAAAATTTGGGACACCCACCGTGCTAGGATATATACTATTTTTATTCTGATTTAGATTGACTTTTAGTTCTAAATATACAAACTAAGTTTAGTTTTAGATATACAAACGATATATAATATTGTTGAATATTCTCTAGAATATTACATTTTCTTCCTTTTTCTGCTTTATTGATTTTACGTTTTTTATCGTTTATCGTTGATAGTTTTTAGCCTCCACTGATGTCGGACAATCTTTTCTTCGGGCATCATATTGCCCTTCTTCCCTTTGGGGATCTGTCCCTTGCTATTCTTACTGTTCTGTTTTCTGTCATTCTTTCTATAAGTTGATTCCATTCTATTTGCCTTCTTTTGTCCACAGGTTTATTTCATCTATATTAAAATATTCTATTGATTTTATTAATTGTTGTTTATCAATCCCTTTATATTTAGTAACGTCCGTTTTGTTCAATTTTTCTTAGTTTTATATCGTATACCATTTCCAAGAAATCTTAGTTACATTTTACAATAGATTTATTTTACTTGAACGTTTGTTTAGCGATATTATTCCACGTAATAAAGTTTTTGTGTAACATATTCCATAATATTGTTTCAAAATATTTGAAATATTTACTTCTTTTAATGCCACAAGTCATCGACTTATTTCTTCGTCTAATTTTACTGCCTTTTTAATTTTTAAACTCCTCCGTCTCTGACGAATCCTAATACATGAAAAAAAACATTTAAAGGTTTTCGTTCCAAACTTCACACTGTTAAAAACTAGCTTGTTCTTGTCAGTGTTAGTGTTGTCAGTTCTTGGCGGTAAAATAATTGCGGTATATACAGTCTTTACATCGTTAAGTTATAATTTGTAGGGGTTGATTTCTTATTTTTATTTGATAATTTGTTTATTTAGTTTGCAACCTAAGCAAAATGCGTTCGCCTCAAACCTATAACATGTCAGAAGGTTCACTCCAGGTACGTTAAATCTAAACATTATACATTAATACAATAATAGGTATAATATGTAACTTCCTTCTTCTAGATAATCATGTCTGGAGGAGAATTTCCAAATCCCATTATGCAAGTTTTGGGTAGCAAAAAAATAAATGCTGGATTAGGTGATAAAGAAAGAATTCGTATTTTACTGTCAGATGGAAAATACACTATTTCTTTTGCGATGCTAACAGCCCAGATTAACGATCGTCTTGGTCCAAATGGTGTGGAAACTTTTAGCATTATACAAATAGATAGATATGTTACGAGTATCATTAACAATTCTGGGAAAGGAGAAGCGTAAGTTCTTTATTATTTTACAATCTCATTAGTTTATAGTCCTAAAAAATATCATTAACATTAAAATTCCATGCTGTGACCAAAATTGGAAAGAAAAATATGTCATACTGTTCAGTAGGAAAATCTAATAGGGTTATGCAGCCTTAATACACTTTATATTATTAAGACAGAATATTTGACAATTTTATTATTGTCTTTTCTATATGCTGAAGATTATAAAATTCCTGACTTTTACTCTTCTTTGTAATATGCAAATCATTTCTGATACAAATTCCTTTTTCTTTTATTTTTCTACAGTAATTTTTGTTTGTAAATATACTTATGTCTTTCATGGGAAAATTTTGTATGTATTTAGGTACTACATAAATACATCAATATAATAATAATATGATAGTTTATAATCACTTCAACAACATGGCCAAATTATTTAAAAGCCACAATGTTAATCTGGAGATAAAAGTAAGGCTCCTACGATGTTATATTTTCTCAATATTATACTATGGAGTTGAATCCTGCACACTCACTGAAGCGATGTAGAAAAAACTTGAAGTCTTCGAGATGTGACTATACAGAAGAATCCTAAGTATATCATGGACGGACAAGATAACCAACTAGACTGTACTATGCGATGTATATAATTAAAAGGAGAAAGTTAGAATATCTCAGACACATAATGAGAAATGGCACTAAATACAGATTACTGAAAATAATCCTTCAAAGTATTCAGAAAACGAGGAATTGGTTGAAGAAGAATATCATGGTTAAAAAACCTGAGGAAATGGTTCTGCACAACAACAACTACTCTATTTAAAGCATCAGTTAATAAAATAATTATAGCCAGAATGATCGCCCATATTCAAAATGAATAGGCACCAAAAGAAGTTTAGAATGTAATGTCTTTGTCATTATGGAAATGTATATCCAAAAGTTGAAAATGTTGTAGGTACTATTGTTCTAAGTAGTGTATATTGAATATAAAAAAAGTCTGATTAAAGTTAAACCATTTACACAGAATATTCAGCAAACTGTCTGGAAAATGACACCAATTATAAAATAGATAACAAGGTTCTCAATACAAGAAATTCACCATACAAAATCACCTAATACAGACCAATCTCAGTACTTACATGTTATAGACAGGAAAGGGACATGATTCCAACAGCACCACCATTTTTCACATACATAGCTCAACAATTTTCTTTGAGGTGTTTCAGTTTTGATAAAGTATTTAAAATCCTATTTATATAAATAATACACCCATATCTTACATATTTATCAAGCAAATTCTGCTAATTAAACAAGAAGAGCAATATTCTACCCTAAAAAATCCAATGGCCTGACTTTACACTAACAATCTACCTCATTTAGAAGAAATTAAATTAAATTTGTTGATGATATGCTGACAGTATGCAACAGTAACAATGAGAGGTGAAACAACTATAGGCATTCATCAACTAAGTAACAGATTGGACCAAAAAATGTCATATAAAGCCATAGACATTAAAATCAAAGGATTGAACAAATTCCTCTATATATTAACAACCAACATATGACATACACAAATGAAGCAAAATTTCTTAGCACACCTCTCTACAAACAACTTTGTTCAAAAGTTAGAGCAAAAAAAAATGAGAGCTTGGTCTTAAATAGAAATAGAAAATTCTACTGGCTTGTTGGCACAAATTCTACTCTGCCAACATACAACTAAACAAATTGTAAGTGCTTATTGTTACAGTAGAAATGAAGATATCCATATATAACTGGAATTTGAAATGATAAAGATATCAGAAGTTGTAAGGAAATATAAAAAAAGTGTAATCAGACCAGCATTGATGCTCTTCAACTAATTAACAACACAGACTTATAACAGAACTCAAAAGGATGAAGCCCTTTGATCCATTTTTGTGTCTAGTGTTAGATGTGAAAGCAGAATATAGTGCTTAAAATTGTGCATATTAATGACTAATGCAATAATTTATGTTTCATATGAAATAAAGCAACACCACAGATGTAGTTGTTAAAAAAAAACTGTTTTGATTTTCTTTATTTTCAGTATACAGCAATCTTACAAGTTTTACATGTATAGACATGTCTATAATTGTAGTGAAATATTATTATATATATGCATTATATTTTAATATTTTAGACGGGTACTTTTAATTCTTGACATGCATGTTGTTGTCCCTGGAAGTGAAGTTACAGAAAAAGTAGGCACTCCCATTCCCCTACCAACCGATGCTGATGTGGCTAAAAGCTCTACTGCTGCTCCAGCTACAAACAATTCTATTAAGAATGTAACTGTCTCTAAACCAAACATCAGTAATGGCACAACTCCAATGGATACTACCAGTACTAGTGATGATATATCCACACATATGATCCATCCTATTTCAAGTCTCACACCTTACCAAAACAGGTAAGTGCATGAGCATATAGCGGAAATACTTTTATTCAGCTATAAATTTATTCAAATATTTTCAGATGGACTATCAAGGCAAGAGTTACTAATAAACCTCCAATAAGAACTTGGTCAAATTCTAGAGGAGAAGGAAAATTATTTAGTTTCGAACTGGTTGATGAAAGTGGTGAAATCCGTTGTACAGCTTTTAAAGAAATGGTTGATAAATTCTATGATTATCTTCAGGTAAATTTTAAATATCTCTTGACAACTAAAATTTAGGTTTGTTAAAGGGCTCTAAATGGATATGTTAGACTTTGTCATTTTATCTACATAAAATAGTTCTCTAAGATTATTCTATTTAGCTTCATAAGTATAGCTAATCATCAAAATTCACAGTTCTGTGAGAGATCCATCCAGGATGTTAATTAATATGCAGTGATCATATGCATTCATACATGCATTAAGATACAGTTATCAAATCCACTTATCTTTTAGATCATATAGTTCTTTTAGCATGTTATGAACTTTTATTTATATACTAGTTGCTCTAGTAGTTTGTTGGGTGTTATAATAATTGTCTAGTCTTCAAAGTCTTCATCAACCCCTTTCTACATAAGTTTGGCTGAAAACATAGTTGTATTGTAAGTAAGAAAGAAATAAACTAAAGATGGGAAACTACAAAATAAAAGATTTCATATACTTTCATTATACACAGAATAAATGCCTCCAAATTGAAACAGACTGTGTTAAAAATAAAGGGATATTTATTATACTTTTAAATATCATTATTTTTGAAAAAATGTTCAAATGTCCTCTCTATTCCACTATCACTAATAATGCGTTTATCTTTTAATGCACACTCTGCCTCGAATTTGGAAGAGTGCCTCGGTGACACCTATATTTAAAAAAGGAAATAAGTTAGATCCCAATAATTATAGACCAATAAGCCTTACACCTGTAAAGTTATGGAATCAATTATCACAGAGTCTCTTTCTGAATTTTTGCTTTGAGAAAAAATTATTCCTCTACAACAACATGGATTTGTGAAAAGTCGATCAACAATGACTACTTTACTGTGGTGTGTTAATGAATGGACAGTAGCATTGGATAAAAAACTTTTGAATGGACAAGACTTACAAAGTGACTTAGATTCAATCTTCAAGTGGTGTTCGAGTTGGATGTTACCTCTAAATAGAGATAAGTGTGTAGTTTTACATTTGGGAAAAAATAATCTGCGTTTGTCTTATTTGATAGCCAGGCATTTACTGAATACTGTGGGATCATTGTGACCTTGGTGTTACAATTACTGAAAATTTGAGTTGGTTGGAGCATATTTCAAACATCACTAAAAAAGTGAATAGTAAATTATACCTACTTAATAAGACTTTTACAAAAATGTCCTTTTCGGGTTCTATTCGATTGTATAAAACTTATGTCCTACCCCTACTGGAGTACTGTGGAACAGTGTGGTGCCTAGAATTAGTGCGCGTTAGAACTCTTCTCGAAAATGACTTTTGAAGCTTGTCGACTCTGTGGTGACTTGATTATCACCTTCCAAATTTTAAACTTTGGATATGGAAATCTACTGCACTTGTTTATTTTAGATCATCACAGCAGACTATGTGGACACAGTTTGAAACTGAAGAAGTAATACTTTTCATAGACAAGAAGCCAACATTTTCTGTGTATATAACTTTTTAGTATATGGAACAATCTCCCAACGGAAATTATAAATTCACCATCTATAAATTCTTTTAAAAACCAACTAGACTGTTACATATTTATAAACTGAACAATACTGTATACAATTTACTAGTTCATAGTTTATTAGCATAAGTAATTATTTTGTAATATAGTATTTCATTTTTCTTGTAAATGGGCTTATGGGTCTTCATGACACCAGCCCTTATTACTATATAATAATATATACATATATATATATATATTATATAGATATATATATATATATATATATATATATATATATATATATATTATATAGATATATATATAATATATATATATATATATATATATACATTATTTATGTATTATATAATTTTAAGGTGGATAAGTATATTACATCAACAAATGTCAACTTAAACCAGCCAATAAACAGTACAGCACTTTAAAACATGAGTATGAAATGACTGTTACCCACGATACTGTCATTAAAGAATGTCTTGATGCAGATTCTTCAATACCCACTGTACAGTATAACTTTGTTCCTATAGATAAAATTGCTGATAAAGAAGTAAATTCTGTTGTAGGTAAGTAACTTATAGTATGTTTTAATCACCTGATGAATAGCAATCTGATTTTCGAAGAGTGAACATGTACCATCATTCAAAGCGCTAGAGAATTTCCTTATCGTAAAACTAACTAATTAACTAGTAATTGTCTTATCAGCATCAAATAATTGTTAAAGTAAAAAGTAACAAAAACTAAGTGATTAGAAAAACAAAAGAAATATGTTCCCTTCGAAGAACTTATTAGGATTTGATAATAATGGCTAATCAGTTTATCAACAAATAAATACTATACAGAATGTCCCAACAATAAATATCCAGAACCAGTCAAACCAAACAGCAGTAAAACGCAAGTACCATTTTTTTATTTTAATCAAACTAACCAGATAACAAATCAAATGTCATGCCTAAACCAAATACCTTTTCCAACCCAAATAGCTTTACCAAACCAAGTACAATTTCCTAGTTAATCAACTGCACAAAATATTCAAAACACTCAAAACCCTATTCAGTCCCAATATACAACAGTATCCACAAACCCTCAATGCTCACTCTCATCATCACAAAACACCAATAACTACACAGATAGCGACAGCGACATAGAACTTAACTAAACAGAAAATGAAAATAAACATCCCTGACAAGAAGCTGGCAATAAGAGAAAAAGGGTGAAAAGACAAACAACTTCGGAAATTCCCAACCAAATCCAAACACAAAAAAGATTTGATTCCCTCTCAAAAGAAAATCTAGATGAACAAACAGACAATTTATCAAATACACAAAACACAAATATAACCAAAAAAGATCCGTCACCACCACCAATCTATATTTATGGAGTTATTGATTATAGTGCTATGATAGCAAACCTTTCAACTGCAACTGCGGCAGAAACCTATCACACAAAAACCATTTCAATAATACAGTAAAAATTAACCCTACAAACTCAGACACCTACAGGACACTCATACAGCACCTTATAAAAGAAAACATTGTACATCACACTTACCAACCAAAACAGGAGAGGGCCTATAGAGGATTACACCATTCAATACCCACAGGAGATATCTCACATGAATTAAATAATAAGGGTTTTAAAGTTCGCAACATAATTAATGTTACACATAGAGTTACCAAAGAACCATTGCCCTTATTCTTTGTCGATATAGAGCCAAATGAAAACAACAAAAACATATTTGATTGAAATGAGGTTGAATGCTCGAATAAATGAACTTTGAAAAATAAGGCTATTATCGAGCACAAGTTAATTAAATCTAGCCCAAGTACTTTCGCTTAAAATAGCATCTTCAGGGGCATTTCGTCAAATATTTCGGATAGTATATATTATATTCGGAATATATATTCTTCATGATTATTTGTCATGCAGCAAAATTATTTTTTTACTAAGCATTTCGCGCTTTTTATTTTGAATTTAGTTTGAATAGTTTTTCAAAAGCTTAAGTACAATATGTCAGAATTTATTGTATCATAAAGCGAAAAAAATCAACAAATTTCTTCCTGTGTCTCACACATGATTTTCCGAACTAAAATTGTCTGTTAAACTTCACTCTCTAGGTAATGCTGATTGCAGGTATTTTATGAATTGTTTTATGCCAATTGTAACATAAGCCACCCATGTTTCATCATCTTTGACAATTTGGTGTAAATAATTGTCACTTACACACTTAAAAAACGTGAAGAATTTGCCAAAATGTTTGTTCTTGTGTATTTCATTCCAACATTTTGGGTATCCATCATGATCACTTCTGTCATCTGTTCTGTCACTTTTTTGTTGACTTTCTGTCCCAAATGTCAATAAAGCAGACCTTCTTCAGTCATCTTTAAAAAACACTTACCATATGCGTACTGTTCCATCGCTCACAATGTTTTGACTGTACATTTCACAATATTGATGAGGACTTAAATTTCTTTCAGGACTTTAGCTTAAAGAAAAGTAATAAAAGTGTAGATTTCACAGTTGATGAGATTTTTATTCGGCTGAGACTTTTTAAAAATGCAAAAGAAATGACCACTTTTTATAGAAAAGGCGTCATCTAAGCAGTTAACGAATTTGTATACCTGGGACCACTCGTTAACAACGGAAATAGTACTACGCGGAGGTACACAGCAGAATTTTCTCGGCCAACAGATGCTATTTTGGACCCAATCTTCTTAAATCCTCAATTATATTGAGAAATACAAAAGTATACAAAACAATAATATGCCCAGTCCTAACGTATTGTTCAAAGACCTGGACTCAACAAAAAGTAATGAAAACATGTTAAAATGTTTCAAAAGAAAAGTACTAAGGTGAATGGAGCACTATGGAGCAGTAAATGGCAATGGAGTGTGGAGAAGATGATACAACTTCGAACTTTGTAAAATATACCAGGAACTAGATAAAGTAAAACATACTAAGATAGGATGTTTGAGGTTTATATGGCATGTAATGCGGATGGAACAAAATGACCCAGTTAGAAAAACGCTCTTAGATAGACCCATTGGTCAGAGAAGAGGAAGACCCAGAACAAGGCTCCTTGATAACATCGATGGAGAAATTCTTGAGTAGGCTAGGACCCACGCAGGGTTGTAAAGCTAGAATGATAATGATGATGAAAAGAAAATGTACAAATGATCTGCAGAGGGAATGCGCTGCAGAGTGAAGATGAATAACCAATTGAATGCCATTTGCAATTAAGTGGGATTGCAAAGTTTAGTGTAGATCAAAACCTGGTGACAGATGACATTTTGCTTTGCCTCTGGAGATTCTTTTCACAAATATCTCTAGACCAGTGGTTCCCAAAGGGGGCGGTACCGCCCACCGGTGGGCGTTGAAGAGAGATAAGGGGGCTTTTTGGGTCTAAGGAAAATTTGGGGGGCGTTGAGGAACAGCTGCCGCCCCCTAAAGTAACTCATTGCTTCTTTGCTTCTAACAACTTCTAACAATCCGAAAATATAAACGAAATGCACAAAATGCATTTTGGTTATGCACCGTGCAATTTTTTATTTATCACTCAGTCCAACACTACAACAATTTCGACGTTGCAGTCGAACGTAGAACGTTTCAGTTTGGTTAGTATAATTCCACTTCCAGTAGAACCTTTCTGCTTTAAGTGAATTTTGGCTCCTCCTTCGCGCAGCGGCATGGTCAGACATAACTTAATCATTCGAGATTGTTTCGCTAAAGCAGGGTGGTGAATTTTCTATGTGTTATTTGCAGAAAGTTGCAGTGCATTTATTAGAAATATATTTTATTGTAATACATATTTGTCACAGAGGTAAGTATCTACGTGGCATTTATATCACTTACTATAATTCTTTATTATTTTTCCCTATCGTAATTTACGAGGTATTTGTAAAAATGTAATAAATCTAAATTTGTTTCCTTCTATGTATAGTTATTGTAAAATATTCAAAAAGTACCAACTTGCACAAACTGGATCAAAGTAAAAAGTTAATTAGGACCTACCTACACTGAGAGAAGAATTGGGGAAAAAGTACAAAAATCTTAATAAAATTTACTATACTGATCATAGACTGCCAAAAATTAACTATTTGCTGAATATAAAGTTATTTTTATAATATGTGTACAGTATGGTAATTTTTAATAAGTTGTTTTGTAATTTTTCCTCAAATTTTTCTCTCAGTGTATATTTATTTACTTGTGGCATGTTTTAAATTTCTCGACTACTTGCTTGGATATTCCGTCACTCTGAAATATTGATTTTGCTCACTAAAAAAATATTTAAAAGTTTAATATTTAAAATTATCAAAGCGGTGGCTACAGCATATTTATTTTTACAGATATACCTACAGTATGTCCGATCCAAAGAAAAAGTGCAGACAATACAATGTCGAATATTTGAAGTATGGTTTTATTCAGTCGCCTTCTAATAAGGCAATACCAATGTGTTTAATTTGCCAGAGAGTTTTCTCAAATGAAGCCATGAAACCTTCACGATTACAAGGACATTTGACCAAAATACATCCCGACAGAAAAGACAGAAATTTATCATATTTTGAAATGCTTAAAAAACAACATTTCAAACGTCCAACTTTAGCTAGTATGTTTTCAGCAGCATCAAAGCAAGACGATGATGAGCTACGTGCTTCTTATTTATAACATTTCCTTACTTATAGCTAAATCAGGAAAACCCCATACTATTGGCGAAGAATTAATACTGCCAGCTGTAAGTGAAGTTTTGCGGACTGTACTGCACCAGCCGGCATCTGATATTATTAAAAAAATTCCATTAAGCAATAATACGGTACAGAGACGAATTGACGAAATGTCTGAGGATGTGGAGCGTTCTCTAACTGATTATTTAAAGACTACTGAGTTTTCTTTATAGCTTGATAAATCAACTCTGCCAAACAATGAGTCTTTACTTCTTGCGTACGTTCGCTTCATAAAAAGTGAAAAAATCTGTCAAGAACTGTTATTTGTAAGAACACTGGAAACAGATACTAAAGGCAAATCGATATTTGATATTCTGGAACACTATTTTACAGATAAAGGTATACCTCTGGAAAATGTCATAACTGTTGCAACAGATGGTGCTCCGGCAATGGTTGGACGACACCGAGGACTGATAGCATATTTGAAAAAAGCGGTACCAAATATACTCGCCGTGCATTGTGTAATTCACAGAGAGCATTTAGTTGCAAAAAATCTTAGTTCATTGTTCACTACAATATGTAATTACTGCAGTTAACAAGATCAGAAGCAGTGCTCTCAATGATATATTGTTTAGAAAACTGTGTGATGAAAACGACGAGAATTTTAATCGTTTATTGTTGCACACAGAAGTTCAATGGCTTTCGAAGGGTACCTGTCTAAAAATATTATGATCTCTTTGACTCAGTTTTAGAGTTTTTTGAAAGCAAAGATGATTCTTTGAGAGACAATTTATGAAAATTTAAGAGCGATATTGCTTATTTAACTGATTTATACGATAAATTTAATGAAACAAACCTACAGCTACAAGGTGATAATTTGAATTTGATCAAAGCAAAAGGAACTATTTCCTCGTTCGTGTCAAAACTTAATTTATATATGCAAAATTTGGGTCGCAGACAATTTCATCAGTTTCAAAATCTTTCCTCTGTGGAGACAAATGATGAAGACATTCTGGTATATTGCCAGCACTTGGAAGCACTTCAAGAAGATTTTAGGAATAGATTTCAGGATATTCTTGGTCTGATTATTCCAGATTGGGTGCTAGAACCGTTCTCAAGTTTAGAAACAGCAGAATTATCACTACAGGAGGAATTTATAGAATTGTCAACAAATGAAGAGTTAAAAGTGAAACTTAAAAATGGATATCAAGAATTTTGGCTGTAATGTCAAATTTCAGTATTATATCCAGCTTTATGGGCTGCATCAAAGAAGTTTTTCATTGCCTTTCCTTCATCGTATTTAGCCGAAAAAGGATTTAGCAATTTATTAACAAAGAAGCGAAATAGACTGTTCATAGTGGAGCGCGGTGATTTAAGATTGCTGATGACAAGTACGGAACCAAATATTTACAGATTACTATCATTACATCAAGCTCAGCCTTCTCATTAAAAATGTTATATTAATATTATATTGTTTTTTATGATATGTATTTAAGTTAAAGTTTGATCAATACATGAATACTGTATTTTTGAATAAAACATTTTTTTTTAATTTGTTGTCGCTTGGATTAGTTAAGGGGCCGTCGAATCATATTTAAGGTAGCCTTTGACCCAAAAAGGTAAAACAATTGTGAATGAAAGTGCGTTACGAATTTTAAGAATGGAAGAGTTTTTTAAGGGGGCGTTAAGTATTTTGTTTTTGGAAAAATGGGCGGTAGGCCGAAAAAGGTTGGGAACCACTGCTCTAGACTGTAAAAACTCTAAATTATTTTTAATATTTTATATAAATATACATGTTTATTTTTAAAAGTCAAGAAATTTGTTTTATACTCCTAGATGCCAAGAAATATATTTTACTCAATTTATTGGATAAGTAGGAGAACTACTTTTAGGAGATAACTTGGCTCATACATAACAGAAAATGGGACACTAGATCGAGATATTGTCCACAGGATACAGGCTGGCTGGTTTAACTGGGCTGGTTGGTTCATAATGATTTTTTTCTTAGTAGAGATAGTCATGAATGTTTATGTGGTCTTCTTAAATCTAAATTGTAGTTATTACAAGGAATATCCACCTTTAGCTCACAATGAGAAATTGCTCAAAAAGAAAATATCTTACATTGACTTTCCAATGTCTTATGATAAGTTGTGTGTCTGTGTGGGATATCATGGCATCAGACACAAATCTATTTCCCACAAAACATGACAATTATTAATTATTTTAAATGTTTTATGTTGTCTATTTCTTTATACTATACCACTATTTTTGCATTTCTGGTAAAATTTATGATGAAATCAAGTACCGATTTATCTGACGAAGACAGGAGACCTGCAATATTTAGCGGCAATGGAAACTCATTGTGAATTAGTTCTTGATACAAAATTGAAGAGAACCGAGAGTTTAGAGATATTATAATAATTATTTCATCTGTATTTTTTTATTGTAGATGTAATAGGTATTGCTAAAAGTGTCAGCGAATTACAAACATTCCAAGCAAGATCAACAGGAAGAGAATTAAAAAAGAAAGAAGTTGTCTTGGTTGATCAGTCACAAACAGCTGTAAGTATTTTTAATTTATATTTTTGTTATTAAAATGGGCTGTAATTATGTAAAAATGCTAAAAGTATATTCAACAAATCTATCTTTAATGAGAAATGCTTGTAGTCCCAGCACTAGAATCAAATCTGATAAAAAGAATCAAAACTGCTCCAACCAGTGCTTATTACTACTTTGATAGATCAAAGCTATACACCGATCGGAAAATACAACGGAGTGACAAATACTTAGTACAGGACCACAACTTGAACATACGGCAAAATTTAATTAAATTAATTGTACGTAAATTATTCAGTGTAACTAGACAGACGGACAGTCCGCTTTAATAAAATTGTGATTTGAACTAAACAGCATACGATAAATCACGTTTTTGAGTAACGAATGCCAACGATTAGCTCCGGAACAGATGTAGTGTCGAAACGAAGTGGCCGGCTTATCAATAGATTAATTGTTTGACTACGATCAGTTACTCTCAGTAGCGTAAAAGCCGTAACTATTGCTTCTTAATTATTATTTATTTTTATAAATTGTCTGTAAAGTGTTTGGTGTTTGTGTGGTTATTAACAATGTACATCGTTTGTATGTTAACTTTGGTATATGGACATTTTCAGTCACTTCTTTGTGAATTATAATATTTTTTATTTAATACTGGCAGTCAACAAAACGATAGTATTGCATACGGATTTTCTCTGGGTGTAAAATATTGTAACGTGAAACTACCGTTCGATTGTTTAAACTTTACTTACAACATTACGGATTAATGTATATTATACAATGTATCTTTACATTGCAAATATTTATTTCAGAATGACTTTTTATCGCTATGGAATTTCCTTATAACATCTCTTCGAATGTTATGGTCAATACACGGCATTTCTGGAAAGATCTACCAAAGACATAATTTCTCTCGAAGCCGTGAGTCACTCGTATAGACAGTTTCAAAGACATTTAGATAGCTCTGGGACTGGCATTTTTAATTATAAACAATAGGAGGTTATTCATTTGCAATATTAGGGCATAGGTGCATTGGTCATACAATAAGCAATTTCATCTAACTAAATAGAAGTGTATGTTTTGTACTAATTAATAAAGTATTGTAAATTTTTAAAAAATGAGAGGAATTTTAGTTTTTATTTAAAATAGATGGTTTTTGAGTTATGGTTATGGATACTTTTGGAGTTAATAAAAACAGATCAATAGTAAAAAAGTAAGTTTTAAATTATTCTATTCCAATAAAACAGTGCAATCTATACATTGTTATTAGCATTCTTAAAATGAATTTTATATTAGATCATTACGTTATGTTAAAACAAAAGAGTAATTCAGAGTAAAATTCATACCAAATATATAATTTACATATTATCCTTAAAACAAAACTGACCTAGGGTAAATAAACCTTGACCCTGAAAATTCAGCAATTGTACTCTAGAAAACTGGGAAATATACAATTTCTTTTTTATTTATCTCTTTACGGATTCGCCAGAGTTTAAAAAATTAGGAAAATAGACAAACTTTATAACCAAAAAAGCGACAATTATACCGGATATAGTTAAAATTACAACAAAAATGAAGAAAGATCCGAAAATTGGAAAGACGAAAGATTGCATACAGGATTGATTAGAACTTATGGACAAAAATATCACGAAAAATTAATAGAAAGAGGTATAACAGAAGACGAATACTTTAAAACAAAGTATCACGAACAAATTTACAAAGCATACATAAAGGGTAGAACTTTACTAGAAGAATGCAATGGAGGTTTGAAAAAGGGCAAATTGCCAAGGATTAAGGAAATGCAGATAAGGAAAGAGAGAATCGAGGAGTTTTTACAGCAAGACATACAGTATATTTATGAAGATGAGGAGATCTAAAGGAAAATATAGAGAAAATAAATACATTAGTAATGGAAGCAACCATAAATGAAGAACTAGATACAGTAAGAGAAGCAAACAAGTAAGAGAAATATTGAATTAGAAACGGCCGCAAGTAGGCAGGCCAGAAACTCTACAAAGGAGAGAGGCTCCAACGGTACCTGTATTTACCATTTTACAATTGACGAAGTTATTACATGCAAATAACCAGATAACAAACGTTGAAAAGATGTAATACCTCGAAACATAATTATTAAAAGGAGAATCCAACAGAATGGTACAATACTTGCATATAAAAGATGCAAATTACGAAGTAACATGAACAATGTTAAGGGAAAGATCCGAGAAAGATAGCTTTCAAGCTAATTGACAGATTGACTATAGCACTAAAAACACTTCATGACATATTTCATTAGTACCTAGAAGCGATCGGAACGTAGAGAAAGAGAGATGTAAATAAATCATGTACTAGTAACTAATTTTGAACATATTGTAGTCCAGGTAGTGTCAATATTATGGTCTTTGGGATGTGGTGAGTTTTATTAAACAAACAATACTTAGCAACCCTCTCGGAGGAACCTGTAACCTCTAGAGAGCGCGTTCCCAGGTGGCTGCGGACGGATGAGTTAATAAGTGGAAGGGCACGCTTTTGTCCAAGGGTTGGGAAACTGGTCCTAAAGGCGGATGAATCGAAAAATAGGCCAACGGCGTAAGGATGCAGAAGGCAACGGGGAACCACTGCATTAAAGACTCATAGAGTACCCCTGGTAAAGTCATGAATGGCAAATGACAAGTAGAGTAAACAAACTTGCTGATTATGGAGCACGGAATCCAAGATCCGGCAGGGGAGGAATAACTGTAGATCACAGGGCCTCCCAGGTCGTAAACCAGAGAAATCCCTGTGTACTTAAGACATTGAAAATAGCAACCTGGAATGTCAGAAGTCTATACGCAAGTGATAAATTAGCGAACGTACTGCTTGAAATTAAAAACCTCCAAATTGATGTTTTAGGTATAAGTGACGTACAGTGGCCAGGTTCAGGGAAACAAAATATCAATAATGGAACCATGTATTATTCAGGTAACAACGAGGTCAATCATCGCTATGGTGTTACTATCTTAGTTGCAAAAAAGGTCAATTACTCTGTGAGAAGTTTTACTCCTTATTCTGATAGAATATTATCAATACAACTTCAGTCTAAAAAAGGTATAGTAAATTTTATTTCAAGTTTATGCTCCTACGGCAGATAAAGATGACGACGATATTGAAATATTTTACCATGATTTGGAACAAATCTTAAAATCCATGAAGAAACATCACACTACAATAGTAATGGGCGACTTCAATGTCATAGTTGGCCAGGGAAGAGTGGATGAATAAGTTGGGGAATATGGTCTAGGAAATAAAAATGAACGTGGTGACCGTTTCATACAATTTTGCCAGACGAAGAATTTGTAATAGCCAATACACTTTTTAAGCTACCAAAAAGAAGATTGTATACATGGAAATCTCCCGGTGATATAACGAATAGAATAATCGGAAATCAAATTGACTTTGTCCTCATTAGACAAAGATTTCGTAATTCTATACTATCTGCCAAAACTTACACTGTAGCAGACATTGGTTCAGACCATATCCCCATAGTAGTCACAGTACGAACCAAATTGAAACTGGTTAAAAGACTCTCACAAAGTAGAATTGATATTAAGAGATTAACAGAACCACAAACAAAGGAACAAACTGTAAAAACTCTTACTGAAAATCTACGTAATGCCCAAGAACTGAATAAAAGTATCTATAACATTGAACCAAAACATAAAAACCAAAAGTGTCTTTATTTATTATAAAAGGGTTCCACACTTTTACAATACTTATTAAAGTCTTTATTAATTTATATATACAATATTAGACTATTTATTTCTGCGTTACAATTTAAACTCGATACAATTATATTTTCGGACTGATTCTTTTCAAATAAAAATCCTTCATGTATATACAAAACAGCCATTAGTTCCGGAATTCCGGCGAAGGATCGATGACCTTCTCGAATAGAGTGGAATCCCATCGAAAGCAGACAGGTTTTTAGCGGAGGGTCGGACCCGTGGATCTTCTAACTAGAAAATACTCGAATGAAAAAGGATGTTTACAGTTTAGATACAAGTCATAATTTATCGTAACACTATTCTGAGCTGTTCTTAAGCTTTATTAATCGTCTCCATGTTGTTTTTGTATATTTCCCTTTTCCTGGATGGCTGTTTTGTATCAGGTACCTTCTCTGGGCGGAATAATGTTAATAAATGTCTCTTCTGGATTTTTGTTGGCGTTAACTTCTTTACTTTGGGGTGGCTTATTTCTTTGTTTTCTCTCCGCCGAGATTAAGTGTTTTGTCTGGGATTGGTGCCCCGGAGTTTCTTTTGACTAGATAGGTCGCTATGTGGCGTGTATTTTTGATATCACCACATCTGTTGTTGTTTTGTTTGAATGGAACGTGTATAAGATCGGTCAGGATACTTGTGCTTAGGATTAGGAATAGCTTCACCCTCTGGATCTTTTGCTTCTTCAATAGCTCCTGGACTGTATATTTATTTCTTCTTTAAGGTTTTTTGAAGGTAACTGCTAGCTCAGTTGTCTAATTGGCTTACCTTCAAGAGTCACCAAGTATTGTTTGTTTAATAAAACTCACCACATAGTAAAGACCATATATATTGACACTACCCGGACTACAATATGTTTAAAGTCACTATGGTCTGTTTTTTAACCAGGAGGAGTAATTCAAATTTTCCGCGCCGTAATGCTTGTTTGTAATTGGTACAACCGCAGGCAAGTTTACTCCACTAAATTATGACATATTGACACTAATGACATTTGTGAAATTTATTTATTTTAAGTTATTTGTAATAATTTGAACTTGGTGATATGCGAATAGTATTTAATGTAATATTTTTCTAGGTGATATTTATACTAAATATAGTTTAAAGTGTTTATAAATTTATAAATGTATGTTATTTATATCTAATTATCATAAGAAAAACGGCAACTATCTTTTAAATTTAGTGTATACTTGTTAAGAAGCATTTCCATTTTGTTTTCATCACAATAAAAGAACATTAGTAAAGTAATGTTGTGTTTTAGTTTGATTGTATGATACAGTTGGTTTTGTTCTTCCTGGTTGTAGACCATCACAAGAAAACTGCAAAATTATGAAAGAATGTAACATAATAGATTAGATTTGTTGATTAGCTCACAGAAATCCATTATTTTTTAGTAAATTTTATTTGTTGATAACAAATGGGACAAACTCCCTGTCAAAATTAAACAAGAATCCAGCATTAAAGAAATTGTAAGCACACACTTATTTATACAAAGTATCTGGTAAAAAAAAACTAGATTCAAGAAATTGCTCATACCAGAATAAGAAACTGTAACATTATTGACTCTCCCGATCAAAATATTCTCTAAATTATAATTAAATACCATAGACTTAAGAGATCTATAAAACTGAATCATCCGATATTTAAATATATATAAATGGGACCAAATATGAAAAACGTCCTTTTTTATTGTAATAATTGTAATATATATTGGAAGTTAGGTTAAAATTGACGTGTGAGGTTGTCCAATATTGATTACTCGATTACCGCAAGGCCGAGATAATCAACAAAAAAACAAGATGTATTTGGTGACTTTTTAGTAACTTTCTTGGGTGTGAGTCTGTCTTTTTGGTTTACTCCTCCTGGTTAAAAAACATTAGTATATGATTTATTTACAACTCTCAACGTTCCGCTGCTAAAGTTGTCTTTCCTTTTGAAGTCATCCTCCACGCGTTGATATGTATTGCAACGCTAGTCAAACTTATTATTATTCAGACTCAAATTGTATGGCTCGAGAGTAGGTAGGTATATCTCAGTAGCGTGCCGTGACATTTGAAGAAAGGGATGCAAATTAAAGGAAATTATAAAAAGCCTTACTAACCTTTTTACTTGTAGTGCAGCTCTATTCTTGTGTCATCCTTGGCAAACTCGTTTATGACAGACTCATAAAAACTGGGATTTTCAGACATTTCTTTAATAAGTTCTTTTTCAATTGATAAAATCGCTAACTTCGTACTACAGACGCACTTGTAGCAGGTATTGTCATCACTAAGTTACATAATTTTGAAACCTCACTATATGCTTCATCCAGTTCAGTTTGATTAAGAAATGCCAGCATTTTAGAACTAGTATCAGTTTGTACAGAGTGTTGAGAAGCATACAAAACGCACTGTTGGGAATGCAGGGAAAGAATGCCAAAAAAGTTTGCATAATGTTTTTTTCGACAATTAAAAGCCTCTTCCGGGAAAGGAATATTGGCATTGGATATCAAATTGCTCCCTCTGTTGATTTGGACTTCAAATTCGTTAATTTTTTTAATACAAATTCCAATATCATTCGATTTAGTCTGCAATACATCAAATAAAATGTCTGTATAAGGAAAAATTAAAATCAAAATCTCGTTTGACTAATTCCAAATGACCTCTTGAGGAATTTACAGTTTCAGGGTCCCAACGGTCTTTATTCTCCAAAATGCTTTCAAATAACTCTATTAGGGATTGCCCATATTGGAAAACTATTTTTACTAACCTCCCATTGTAGTTCCATCTGGTGGAGCTGCTCGAGGGAACCTTTTCTAAAGAATGACATCTAAAGAATGTGACCTTTTGGACGATTTAGAAAAAAAAAGCAGCCATTCCGCTCAAGCTTTGAAAAAATACTTTGCACGTCTTATTGAGTTCGACTCATTGCGCTAGAACTAAATTTAGCCTGTGTGCAAAGCAATGCACAAAAATTGCATTTTGAAACCTCTCCTTAACTTTGCTTTGGAGTCCTCCCAGGTGCCCAGCCATTACGGCAGCTGCATCATAACTTTGAGCGACAAGTTTGGAACCACAGTCCAGTTCCTCTATATTACAAACATGTCTATATATACCTTCTGCCGATATATCTGCAGTTATATCTAAAAATCCCCAAAATTGTTCTTGTATTTCACCATTATTTTTGATGTAACGCAGAACAACCGACAATTGACGATAACTCTGTACATCTAGAATAATGGAAAAAAATTGTGCTTCTTTTATTTCTTCTTTGATTTTTTTGCAGAACAATATTTGCCACAGACTTGATCAAATCGTTTTGTATCTTATTCGAGGTACCTCGAAATACAGTAGATTGATCTAAATGACTTTTTAGTAGTTCGTCATATTCAGGTAAAAAATTTGCTAAATCCACAAAATTTCCCCTATTTATAGATCCATAATTTTCATTATGCCCTCGGAAACTAAGTTCATATTCTCCAAGTTAACATGTAATGTGAATCAGTCTCTTTAATATTTCACGATTTTTTTTTTACTTGCTCATTATGCATGCGGTGACTAACTTTAAGCTGATTATCTAGAGCGTGATCAATACGTGTTTTCCCAAAAGTCTTTTCTTTTATTGTGTCTTTCTTTAACTGCTTCTAAATGCGTTTTACTTAAAATGTGTCGTTTTATAGATTTGTGCAAATTATTTAAATCTGAGTTATCCGTACTATTCCACACGTTTTTCTCACTTATATTAAATAATGTACACGGAAAACAAATTAATCTCGAGAGAGTTTTACAACCCGTCAAGCACTTAAAGGAATCGTATATATTTTTGTTAAAATAACGTGTAGATTTCGTCGACTTGGTTTGAATTTCCAGTAATGGTTTTGGACTGCCTCCAGATATAATATTACACTTTTCTTGAAAGTTAAATTTTGAAAATTCACATTTTAATAAATCGCACACAATACAGCACTGTCCATTACTGTTTTCCTGGCAGAATTGAGAACTTGTACACAGTTGGGGTAAATCTGAATTCGTTTCTGAAAAACTACTCAAATTTATATATGTATATATATATATATATATATATAGTATATATATATATATATATATACATGAAACACAGCAAAAACTACTCGAATTAATATAAATGCAAAACACGGCAAACGGGCTGTATTAAAATGTGATATGCGAACTACTCCAGTCGCTTTGTCTATAAGCAAATCTAATATTGTATCAAATATTCTTAAAAATGCCGATCCAAACCTATACAAATTGGGCCCGAGAGTCGACGTGTGCTGCCGTCGACAATGAATTGAAGCGATGCTAGCGCGAGCAGAATGATTTCAGAAAATGCATCCAAAGATATTTTAGTCACCGTGCGCTGTTGCCAGTAATTGTCATTAAAGTAATTTAATGATTTCTCGAAAAACATATTTTATCTTTAAATATTTGAATTATTACATATGAGTTTGAAATATGATTATGTAGTTTTAACTACTGATAATAAATTTTAGATTTTAGGGGATGCAATGCTTCTCTTGCACCATGCACCGCACGCCCCTGGTATATCTAGAAAATTGCGACTTTTAGGTTGTTTTAAAATTTGATGAACCACAAATGTTTCTTATGTTTATAATTTATAAGTGTAGAAGCAAGTAAAACATAAGGGTTTTATTGGCATTATCACATTTTTTATGGAACATTCTGTTCTCATATCATATTTTTTTTACAAAGTTACTTTTTGTAGATAACGTTAACACTTTGGGGCCAAGATGCCGAAAATTTTGATGGTACCAACAATCCTGTCGTAGTTATAAAAAGTGCTAAAATTGGAGAATTTGGAGGTGGCAAGAATTTAAGTACTCTTGTTAGCAGCACCTTAAAAATAAATCCCGAATTAAAAGAATGTTACAGGATCAGAGGATGGTATGACAGTGAGGGTGAACATCTGGATGCAAAGAATATTAGTGCCAGAATTGGATCCTCAAATATGTCCGCAAATTGGATGACTTTTAAGGAAGTTAAAGATCAAAAATTAGGATCATCTGAGAAAGGTATATTCTAGTGGTTACGGTATAGCAATTTTCACAGCATTACAAATATTTTACGTTTTTAGGTGATTATTACAAAGCTATTGCTACTGTTCTCCTTGTCAAAGCCGATAATATTGTGTACAGAGCTTGTCCGACTGCTGAATGTAATAAGAAAGTTGTTGATATGGAAAATAGTATGTACAGATGTGAAAAATGTAATAGGGAATTTCCCAATTTCAAATACAGACTGTTAGCTAGTGTAAGTATGATTTTTCCCTTTGGAATATTTGTTAGATATAAAGCAGTAACCAACGTCTTTGTTGTGCAAGTATAATTATTAATAAATGTAATATATCCCGAAATATAAGCTCGGCAATCATTATTACGTGTTAAGAAGCTCTTTTAGTATGTAATGTAGTTTATAGTCTAAGAGCCAGTGGGCGGCTACCTATATGTATTTGACGATACCTGGATTTTTGTACAGTGAGACCCCTATACTTACTGTACATGAGATGGAGAGTCACTAAGATCCAGGTGGCCGACTTGGCGGGCGCTCAGGTAAGACAGGTATCGATTTTTGGCCAATTTTATAAGTATTTGACGACGTCTGCCGCTTTGAAATTTGAAAATATATTAATATTATTATCGGAAAATAACAATGGCAGACCATTATCGCGCGGTTTTCATTGCGGCAGACAATTTTGAAAGTGCTCAAAAAAATAAAATTTTCAAAGTAATTGACCAGATCTGCCATTAATATATTTCATTTATTAGGGTCTTAAAAACATATATTGATCATGGCAGACGTCTTCATGGTGGACATACTTCAGTAGACAAGAAAATCTTATCTATTATCCGGTTAGATGTATCTGTATGACGTTCCCTGTTTCATATCAATATCATTTACGTTCTCACTGTATTCATAGCAATTAATACTTCATTTTGCAAATTATGGACTAAAATTTAGAAATTTAATGATAAAATAGTCAATTTATTTGATTTTTTTCTTTTAATTTATTCACAACAAAATTGAAAAAAATGAATCATGAATTACAAAAAATATTTTCTTACATTGATTTGAATTTTTATTCATCTTAATCTGAATCATTTGTCTCCAGGTAGGACTCCTCTTCATCATCCTGTGATTCGGAATCTGTAAAAATAAAGCATAAATTATTAAATAAAAGTCAATCGTAAATTGATCTGAACGCATTCGGTAAAGAATTAATTATTATGAACTTACACTAACTTTGGTGATTAAATCACTGACAGAAGTTGGGAGTTGATCTCCTTCAAACCATTTGAATGTAAATTTCTCGTCTTGCTCTATCCAACCAAACTCTAATGGATCCAATGTCGTAGGTTCTTTTTTGTAAGCATTTTTCCAAATTGTAGAAATATAATGCGCTCTCAGAAGTTGTTGATAAAGCTCACTTTTACATGGTGGTATTGAGCTTGCATCAAAATTCGAAATTTTTTTGCTGAAATTTTCATTGACATCGGAAGCCTTATAATTAATGACGAAAAGTTGGTATCTTCCATCATCAACGTCAACAGATTTTTTTGCATTATAAAGTTGGCAGGTAAACTTTTGAATGCTGTTAAATACCTGTTGTAACTTTATATTTATTTTTATAAATTGTCTGTAAAGTGTTTGTTTGGTGTTTGAGTGGTTATTAACAATTTATTTATATCGTTTGTATGTTATCTTTGGTAAGTGGATATTTTCAATCACTTCTTTGTGAATTATAAAATTTTTGATTTAATACTGGCAGTCAACAAAACGATAGTGTTTCATACGGATTTTCTCTGGGTGTAAAATATTGTGTGAAACTACCGTTCGATTGTTTAAACTTTACTTACAACATTACGAATTAATTTATATTATACAATGTATCTTTACATTGCAAATATTTATTTCAGAATGACTTTTTATCGCTATGGAATTTCCTTATAACATCTCTTCGAATATTATAGTCAATACGCGGCATTCCTGGAAAGATCTGCCACAAGCATAATCTCTCTCGATGCCGTGAGTCATTCGTATAGACAGTTTCAAAGAAATTTAGATGGCTCTGGGATTGGCATTTTTAATTATGAACAATAAGAGGTTATTCATTTGCAAAATTAGGGTATAGGTACATTGGTCGTACGATAAGCAATTTGATCTAACTAAATAGAAGTGTATGTTTTGTGTTAATTAATAAAGTATTGCAAATTTTTTAAAAAATGAAAGGTTTTCGTCCATATTACCGACAATAGAACCGAGTTCGGTAATAATTTTAGATAATGCTCCCTACCATAGTCGACAGGTAGAAAAGCTTCCAACAACAAGCTGGCGCAAAGGACAAATCATTGATTGGCTGGATACGAAACTAATCGCTTATGACAGATCAATGATTAAACCTGAGTTGTTAAATGTTGCACAACATAAACATAAATATGTTGTTGACGAAATGGCTCTTAGTCACGGAGTTCTTGTTCATCGATGACCACCATATCATTGCGAGCTGAATCCAATTGAATTGAATTGAATGTCGCAATACTAGATTTAAATTATGTGATGTTAAAGTATTATTCGATGAAGCTATACGTAACGTTACCGCAGACAACTGGCGAAAGTGCATCGGTCACGTGGAGAAAATAGAAAATAAGATGTGGGATGTAGATATATAGGTAGATGTAATTATGGAACCGATTATAGTCCAACTTGATGACGAGAGCGATGATTCGGATAATTCTGATTTTGAGTAAGAGTAAGTTTTGTAATTTGAGCCATTTCTTGAGTACATTCCAAGTGTGTTTCACAATTAATTTGCCACAATTAATCGTGACAAACAAAGTTTGGCAGACGTCTACCATGATCAATATAAGTTTTTAAGACCCTAATAAATGAAATATATTAATGGCAGATCTGGTCAATTACTTTGAAAATTTTATTTTTTTGAGCACTTTCAAAATTGTCTGCCGCAATGAAAACCGCGCGATAATGGTCTGCCATTGTTATTTTCCGATAATAATATGAATATATTTTCAAATTTCAAAGCGGCAGACGTCGTCAAATACTTATAAAATTGGCCAAAAATCGATACCTGTCTTACCTGAGCGCCCGCCAAGTCGGCCACCTGGAGCTTAGTGACTCTCCATCTCATGTACAGTAGGTATAGATGTCTCACTGTACAAAAATCCAGGTATCGTCAAATACATATAGGTAGCCGCCCACTGGCTCTTAGACTATTATCAAAGGGTGCAGGTAAATGGTACATTGTCTTCGGAATTTATAGGGCGTGGTCTGGAATTATTTCTTTCTGAAATTTAGTCTGCAACTTTGTTAGAATATTATCAAAGTATGATTCAGCATTTGCAGAGGAATTAAAATTTATTAAGACATTTTCCAAAATACGGGAAAATAATTTTTTTCTTTCTAAAGCATTATGTAACTGTGTAAGATACAGTAAAGTATATTAAAAAAAACCCATGATTTTATTAAATTTGTTAATAAAAACAGTATGAAAAAGGGCTCCTTAAAATTTATAATAACTTTGATATTTTTTTATGTCACAGAGTTGTAAGTAGTCTCAATACAAAGCTGGTTAAAAAGCACATTTTCCAAAAAAAAAAACAACCTTGTATGACCAATAACAAGAAACAAACTGAGATATTGCAGCGGACAGTTCTCCCCTCCACTTTTCAGTGGCGCTATTTTATGAGTATCTACCATCATTTTAACGGGTTACAACTTTTTACTTCTTGGCGTGTATGCCACCTATCACTTATATCATAAAATTTTCATCTTCTTTGACAATTTGTTTAAGTTTCAACTCTTAGTGTTAATAAACAATGAAAGTATGGTTTTAAAAAAAAAATGCTATCTGGTTTCCTATTGGTCATATAAGGTTCTGTTTTTTTGAAAGTGTGTTTTTTCACCAGCTTTTCATTCAGCATATCGATGCTTAAGATGTGATATCGCGTATCTGCAAAAACCCCTTTTTACAGGAGACGCAAAAAACGTTATGTTGTGTGAGAATTAAATAATATTAATACTATTTTATATATATTTTTTTGTATATTGGATGTCACAAGTATCATTTCTTTTAATATTTTGTAAAACTATAATCTCATTAACAAAAAGCTGCAGATACGTAGAATCACTATTGTTTAATTGTTGGTTAGAGGAGGATTATGTGTAATCATTACCAAATGTAAATATTGCAATTTGTTATTTGTGTGGGACAAAGAAATTTATTGACTTAAAATACACTGCGCTCCAAAATTAACGCATAATTTTAAAAACCCTGGTAAATTAAATAATTTTAATGTTTCGATTTTTGTGCTAATATATTATCGTTACCCCGGCATATTGTAAAATTTATCGAAAGAACGGTAAAAAAAGCTGAAGTTTTTATCATTTTTTTGCAAAAAATTAAAAACATGCTAATTGTGCTTCATTTTATTTCGAATTTAGTTGGGTTGGATTTCGTTGTGCTGAACGTTTAAAGGGGTTTTTCAAGTTTATTAAGTGTTTTTTCTTTGAAATGAACCACCCGCAGCAAAAAAATCGAAATTTGTCAGAAAGTGACTTTTTCTGTGACTGTGACTGTGAGAAGAAGGATACACTCAAGTAGAACTGGCTGAACGTTTTAACGTCACCCAGTCAACAATTTCAAGAGTGTTAACACGTTTTTCTGTTACTGGAAATAACTCGAGAAGACCCGGTCAAGGCCGTAAAAGGGTTACAACTCCTAATCAAGACCAGTTTTTGACACTTCGTACACTGAGACAAAGGTTTGTTTCCAGTACTTCTCTACAAAATGAATTTTTGGATCGTTATAACTTTAGAATCAGCCAAAATACAATTAGAAGAAGACTTGCCGAAAACGACCTACACCCTGGAAGGGCACCAATTGGCCCATTATTGACCAGAGACCATAGAAGGCAAAGATTGAATTTTGCTCGTGAACATGTTGATTGGAATAATGACGATTGGGGAAGAATATTGTTCACCGATGAATCCAGGTACTGTCTTTTTTCTGATGACAGGAGAAACCGAGTGTATAGAAGGCCTGGGGAACGCTACGCACAGTGTAACACCGTAGGGACTGTACAGTATGGCGCGGCGGCTCGGTAATGGTATGGGGTGGGATTAATTTAGAGGCTCGTACGGAATTAGTTAAAATAAATCACGGTCGGCTTACATCGCAGAGGTATATAACATACATTTTAGAAGAGCATGTCGTGCCATTTGTACCATTTATTGGG